GATCACTTCACAATATATACACATATCAAATCACCACATTATGCACCTTAAACATATACAATTTTTATATGTCCAACAAAAGAATGAATGACAAAGGGAATTATTCCCCAGCTCCTCCAGAAGTAAACAGCATGGCCAAAATGTTTATCTCACCCTTGTGATACCCTGAGCAGAGAGCTCGGCCAGACCATGCTGAACCTCTAACCCGAAGAACTGTGAGCCACTAATGCTGCATAGTGCATGGTGATTTGTTACACAGCATAGAAAATTCATACAAAGAAGTTGTGCAACAAGTGCCAGAGAACTTAACCTCAGGGGCCTTAACCTGAGGCATGTATGGTCTGATGGGGTTGGGGGGTCTGCCCTGAGCTGATTCTGCTCTATTAGATGTTCAGAGAGGCCCAGGGTCCACCAACATGCTCCTGTCCTAACTGATACAAACCTGACCCAATGGGAGAAAATTCTCATTATGCTCCAGGAGCCTGTGAACTGGGACTGGCCTGGTGAGCTCACCCACTGCTGCTGCAGGTTTCCCTGAAGAGGTAGGAGGTGGTCCCTGTGAGGGCTCTGCCAGCCGGGGTGGGGGAGGAGAAGGGCAGGGCTTGCACTCTTTACAGAGCTCTTTGTGCTTTCTCCTGTACCAAACTCCAAACGTCCTGCTGCTGAAGGCACCCAGTAAGCCTCACACTCAGGAATAGCCCTCCTCTAGGGCCAGTGCACAGCCTGTCTGGCACCCACCTCCTGAGACCTGGCCCCCCAACAGTGCGGAAACCCAGCTGCACAGCAACTTGCCTACTGTCCAGCCCCATCCCCACTCAGCACCAACACTGCAAGGAACTGCGCCACATCCTGCGCTCTGTCAATGCCTAGAGAGCCAAACGTAAGCTGACTAAATGGGAACCTCTGAGCAGCCATAGCCCAGTGGCGGAGGAGCCCGCCCAGGCCCTGCAGCTGCAGCCGTGTTCTTCCAGATGGCCATACCCTCTGCTCCAGAGGCCCCTCCAACACCTCTCCAGCCAGGAACTCCTCGACTCATCTCCCCTCCAAACACTGGAGGTTTGTTTCTGGAGAAATTAAGCCAGTAGCTCCAGACCATGGGTCCGAGCACAGAGGAGCATGGGTGTGAGGAGCAGAAGAAAGCAGAATGAGGGAAAGCCCACACTCAGAACCAAGCCCCAGCCCTCCTGGGGCTCCCATCCAAGAGAGGGTCACTGTTCAGAAAAGAGACCCCAAGGCCTGATGTCTGGGGACCCCGACGGGGAGGTCTTGTTGCCCCCTGTCCACTAGCAAAGCCCCATACATGGCCCAAGGGCTCCCTCCTGGCTTTGTGTGTTTCCTTCTTAAATATGAATTGGCAGTCATGTCGCCAGACATTTGAGGCAATCCTCTAACAGAGAAAAATGAAAACAAAACAAAAAAGGAAGAAATGTAAATTGGAAAGATGTTGCAGGCACAGAACAGGAACAGAGTCTTGTGGGAAAAGTAGTAGATGCACAAAGAACTATTGGAAATTAATAAAGGCTGGAACAAGTAGGACGAAAAGACAAAATGTAGCAAAAAGATAAAAGAAAGGGTCAGTTCAGAGAACCCACCATCTAACTAATACACTATCCAGAAATAGAGAATGAAAAGGACAGGAGAGGGAACTTATCAATGAAATGGTAGTAAAAGTTTCTCAGATTGTCTTAGCCCATTCTGTAACAAAAATAACAGTAAACTAGGGGGCTTGTAAACAACAGACATTTATTCATTACAGTTCTGGAGCCTGAGAAGTCCAAGGTCAGGACACATTGGCAGATACAGCATCTGGTGAGCGCTGCTTCCGGTCCACCAACATGTCTTCACACTGCCCCATGTCACAGAGGCATGAAGGGGCTCCCTGGGGTCTTTCATAAAACCCTAATCCCATTCATGGGGACTCCACTGTCACGGCCTAAGCACCTCCCAAAGGCCCCACCTCCTAGTCCCATCACACTGGTGGCAAGGTTTCACCATATGATTTGAGGAGTGACGCAAATTTCAGTCCATAGCACAGGTCAGGGTTCACGTGGAAAGGGCACACTGTGCGCCCAGTGCATGAAAGAAAAACAACCCACACTGACATCTGTCATCATCCCATCTTAGAATGCCAGAAGAGCAGACCTTGGAGCTTCCAACAGGGAGATTAAAAGAGTGTGTTTATTAAGGAATTTGAAAGGTGTTAGGGCTTTTCAACAATGAAACCAGAAATTAGAAGCTAATGGAACAATGCCTTCAAAATTCTCAGGAAAAAAAATTCACATAATCTAGAATTTTATACCCAGCTGTACAAGGTTCATGTTGCTCTCTCAGCCCCCAGCGACCTCCTTCTTTTTGCAAAGTCGTATGAGTAAAACTATTTCCTAGACTTGCTCACAGCTTGGGTCCTGGATGTACATTAGGCTCTGCATTGGTGGGAGGCAGTTCTCACACAGCTTCTGGCAGTCAGTCCTGGTTAAGAAGGGGATGTTTTCCTCTAACAGTTAACCAGATTCCTTCCTGCTTCTTTGCTGTGACACCAAGCAGTGGCAGTGGGAGAGGTGGCTTCTTTCTCTGTGACTCTGAGCCTGTAAGGAAGACATGAGGGTCGATGTCTGCCTCCCAGTGCGGCAGAGATGGTCTCTGTGGTAGAAGGGACCCCAGACCCAGGCTGCCAGAGTAGCAGAGGTGCTGTGGGGGAGGTGGGGGGGAAGCTCCCTATGGGCAGTTCTGAATCGTTCTGAAAATCATTCCAAGAAGCCCACTTAGAAATTGCTTTTTTAGCCCTTTTAACACCTTGTGGATACCTCTAATGATCTGTATTCCTGCCCTGAACACTGGGCCCTCCTGATTCAGCTGCCAAATTGCCCATCAAGTGTGAGTCCATGACGAAGGACAGCGGCAGCCAGTCCAGGCTCCCAACACCACCTCCTCCAGTCCTGTGGCACCAGCTGCTGTGTGCTTGGCTCCCAATGGCTCATACCACAGTTGTCTCGAGTGGCTACCCTAAGGCCCAGATGAATGCCTGGGGCTAAAGTTCCCCCACACCCACCCCTGCCTGCCTACAGGGGACTTACAGCAAGTGATTGCCTCAGCAGGACAAGCTCTGGGTGTAACCCCCACCCCAGGGCTCCCTGACCAGGTTGGGACTGGCACTCACTGGATATGGATCCTGCCTGGATCTTTCTTCCCTGCCCCACTGTGGATAAAATGAGAGTTCCAGTGGCCAGGATTCTCACCTGGCCCTGGTTGACTGGCTCACTGCACACCTGTGGGCAATACATGGCTGTTGACTCTATAAAAAGAACTCTTCCCAGTGCTCTGGGCATGAAATGGTGGCAGGGCTGCAAGGCTGCAGGAGAGCAGAGCAGAGGCTGGAGTGGTGGCAGTGCCGAGGACAGAGGCCCAGAGGACGGCTGTGTAGGACAACTGTTCAGAGAGGCCCAGAGGACGGCTATGCAGACAGAGAGGCCCAGAGGCAGAGACTGGCTTGCTGCATGCAGACTCGCTCTGAGTGAATGGGATTCTAGTGACTGACCTGCCACCTGGAAATAAAGTTGGGTATAATGATTTCACCCCAAGAACATTTTGCTGTCAATTTCTTTGGTCACATTGAATCCATAGTGAACTTGCCTGGGGCTGAAACCCATTGGCAAGACACCCACTATCGCGACTCCCCTCCCAGCTTCTCCTGAGAGAAGTATTTCCTCAGTGAATCCTTTTCACGCAAACCCATGCCTACAAGTCTGCCTTTGGGAATTATTTCCAGATGATCAGGGACTCTAAACATCTACTTCTAATAACTTAGTAAGCTATTAGAGGACATGTGTCCGTATAGTGATGGTGTGAAGCAGGAGAGGACGTCATAGGGACCCCATCCAGAGGGCACTGCGAGGGGACGCCCTCGGAGGACAGGCTGCGCATGGGTCTGGGGAGTGACTGGGAGCCGGCAAGCCCATGTGGGAGCGTCCGGGAGAAAAGGAAATCAATAGATTGGCAATTTGACTATTTGGAAAATAATATTGATTCAGATATAATAGATCTGGTTAAACATTTAGGAAAAATAAACTTAGATACATAGAAAACCAAATAAAGGAAAATATGCACATAGTAAGTTCAGGAAACAACATCATAGTCAATTCACTTAGCGGTAAGCAAACTTTGCTGTCATAGTAAAATAAATTCTATTGATTTAACCAAAAGTCGTGATAAAAATTTGCCCAAGGATGGCGAGCAGGGCCAACACCAAGGTCTGCGGAGCCCAGACTCACCAGTTTCCACTGCAGGCAAGGACAGTGTTTAAATCTGGTGAATCAAGAAATAGCAGTCTCGGTGTATTATTTAGAAATGTGGAAGCGAATACCAGCTGTGAGCATTGCAAACAGAAATCTATTTGACATGAATTTATCTTTTTAAACCCATTCCTTCCAAAAAGATGAAACATAGCTTCCGATGGAAGACACATGCATACACGCTCCCTACCCTGCACAACAGAATGAGGAAGAAAGGGGGATCCAATAGAGATGGTCAGTAGCAATAGCGGAGAACAGAAGCCCTTCACCCGGGGGCCGATGCATCACGCATCATAGCCAGCTGGACCTCAGCAGCCACACAGTGGTAGATGCTCTCCGTACTCAGCAATGTGAAACCCCACCATCCATCCATCCCCCAAGCCCCCACCCACCACCAGCCCTTGCTGCCCCAAATTCCATATTCCAGATGCATTTACCTGAGCTGAGCATTGCTCTCTTAAAGAGCGGAGGCTCCCTGCCAGGTTTGCACACCACACACAGTACTGGGAAAGCACAGGCTGGGTGCCAGTTTCTGCTGTGTGCCCTTGGCAAGCTGCTAAGGTCTCCGAGCCTCAGCTTCCTGGAGTGGGAGATTATAAACATGGCCACCGTCCTTCACAGCCCCTCCCATGATTCTGGATTGGCCTAGAGGTTTATTTGAGCAGTGTGACATCATACCCACGTTGGGTCTAGACCTGAAGACACCTTCCAGCTTCCATCCTTGCTGCTCTCAGACCAGCACAGAATCAGGCCCAGGCTAGCCTGCTGGAGTGAGACACACCATCACCCCCACCAACCCAGCCAACAGCCATCAGACCTCCAGACTTGGGCAGGGGGCCACTCTGGACCAACAGGCCCCCAGTGAAACCACCAGCTGACCAAAGATGCATGAGCCAGCTTAGCCGAGCCCAACCGAGGTAAGTCTCACCCAGCCCAGACCAGACAACCCACCCAGCAGACAGATGGTGGCCAAATAGATGGTGGTGGGGTGTTTTTTGAGCAGTTTTGAGCAGGTTCAGTCTGTATCAAGGAACACTGATGGACCCTCATGCAAAATGATGATACCAGTGCTTAGTTCAGAGGGTGGCTAAGATGTAGTGGTAATAGAGGAGCCCTCCCCAGGTGCTCAAACCAGTGCGCACCCACCATCCCCATCTCCAGCACCTAATGCAAAAGAGATTTGCAGCTGCTTTTCTGTTGTGGCAGCCAGAAGATGGGGGTAGGGCTCCCCAGGAGAGAAAGGAAACCTCTAGGGCAGACTTCCCCCAGCTGTCCACCCTGTGGTATGAGAAGCACAGCCACCTGATGCAGCAACTAGCAACCCGGCTTTGCAGGCAGCTCTGGGCAGGCAAAGACTGATCCGCTGTAATTGGCTTATTGATTTTGCACTCACATTTTAAGATGCATAGTGTGCCACCATCTACACTGGCCGTTACAGCAACCTTCCAAGGGAGTTTTATCTGCACCACCTTGGCCCAGACTCTGGGCCAAGAAGCAGAGAAACAACTCTCACTAATCATCCTGGAATTGCAGCAAGCACAGCTCATGCGGGGCCCACCAGCCACTCCCCAGATGTCAGTGCTGAATTAAATGACAGAATGGAACCCCAGCGCTCTCTGCCTGGACCCTGCAAGCACACCTCCCTTATCCCCTGCACTGAGGCTTGTCTGCCTCAGTCTGCCACTCACAGGGACCTCCCTTCTCCTGGGGCTGGGCCCTGGGATTCTGCAAGTGGTTTGGAGCCTGAACACCTGGGTCAAGCCAGTCACTCTACTTACGATGAAGAGCATGCGCACAGGACACTCTTGGTGGAGCACCTGAACTGCCCACTGTCATCTACTGTCAGCCAGAGACCCGAGCCCCACCAGAAAGTAGGCTCAGATGCTGTCCCCCACCGCCACCCACTAAGAGAACCCGCAGGCGGCCTGGGTCTTCTAAGAGTGTCCTAAGCACCTAAGGCAGGCCCAGGAGGAGACATGATCCCCGCCACCCAGGAGGCACAGTCTAGAATGCAAGTGTTTTGGACCTGCAGAGACCACGAGCTCATTGAGTCCTGGGTGCTGATGCAAACAGCCATGCAGGGAGGGCAGTGACCTGCCCAAGGGGCCTCACATGGTCTCACTGCAAGAGCCTGGAGGGGCTGGGTCACCCTGAGTCAGGCCGGTACCCTGGCATCAGGCAAGCTGTCTTCAGAAGGGCCAGAAGCCAGCCAGAGCAGCTCACGAGAAACAAGGGACAGGTCAGCGCCTCCTCGCTACCCGCCACACTCCCAGAACGGGTTCCACAAAACCCTCTTCTCTGTTATGTTAATAATGAATTACAAAATAAAAGTGGTGGCCCTGTATCTGGGGAACATTTTTCATTAGGTCTGAAGACCATCAGGACCTCGCAGAGCCTCTGACTGTCCCCATCCCCACAGACCTCCTGGGTGTGCAGCCCTAACCCCCAGCCCTGCTCACTGCTTCCCCAACTGCACCATTGCAGTTGGCATTTCAAGATGCACACCCAGGGGAAGCCACTGCCGGAGGGAACACAGACTCCTCAGCCTGCCACAGGCAGCCTGCCCCACCACCCAGCACCCCCCTCCTGCTCCAGGCCACCCTTCCCCAGATGCCAGCCACTCTCTCCCCACTCTCCGGGCCTCAGGAATTTCCATGCACCCTTCCTGCCCTACATGCTCAACCCAAAGTCCTCTCCTAGCAGAGCCCCTGGGAAGTCAGAGGCTTCTCCTTCCTGCACCTGTGCAGCCCTGCAGACAGACAGCTTCCCCCCTGTGGGGTGCACCCCAAGACATGAATCAGACACAGTACAATTGCTTAATTAAGAGATTTTGTGGCCCCCTGTCCAGGGCCCTGGTTAAATGATGACAGGAGCCTGAGTCTTGCACATGGGGTGACCCAGGCAGCACTGGACCCAGGTCTTTTGTCTGTGCACCTGGGAGCTTGGGCCACATCCAGACCTTTGGTGTGTGGTTGCTGTCAAAAACTGTACTGCAGTTTCTTTTGATTTTCTAGAAACTTCACAATTCTAGCTTGCAATGTCAAAATACACTTTAGCTATAAATACACTACTAATTGTCACACAGGAAAAAATAAACTTTATTCCTGCAGGCAAATTCTATAGCACCAGAGAATGGCCCATCCAGGGTCCTGTGGCCCCTGCTGTGGAGGGCCCCAGTCCAGAATGCACTGCCCACCCCATCTCACTCATGGAGTGATTGCACACACACGTTGCACTCACGTGCACACAGCATACAACATCTGATGAAGGAGCTACATAAAGCCCAGCCACAGGCCCAGGCCCTCAGCCCTCCCATCCCTGCCCAAGCCAGGTGCTGCCTGACCACGGGGACACACACAGCTCCCCCAAGGCCACAGCTCCTGCAGGAGCTCCTGAGCCCTGCGTGCTTGGTCCCCAGCCCTGCACTCCGGATGGCCAGCTTAGAGATGCAGATCCCCGGGGCTCCTCGGGCTGGAGCTTGGCCAGCCCTGGCAAAGCCGTCTGCTTCCCAGCCACTCTCTGCTGTTCTCAAGGACTAGGAGCCAAAAGGCACTGCCTCCCCGGTGGGCCGCAGCACCACCTCTCCCACGGCCAGCTCCTGCGTGGAGCCATCTGGCCCTCAGTAAGGCTGGAGAGATGCATGACTAACTCGCCCTGTATCCCAGCGCAGAAGCTGAGGCGCAGGTTGCAGGGTCTTGCGCAGGCCAAGCCAGACAGTGGGTGCAGACCAGCGGGCCTCCATCTCCCCGCCTCCCAGCGCCCAGCCACAAGCCCCAGCCCCAAGGCTGAAGCCGGGTTTCTCCACACAAGAACACTCTGTTTCCTTCACTGCGCTCAGGCGGGGAGAGAAAGCCTCGCCACTTCCTGATGCATTATTTATCAGGAGCGCATTAACCGTGGGTGACATCACAGGCTTTGGAAGGTAATTTGTGTAAAGTATTGTTAAAGCAATTGATTTGCAAATTCCTCGACAGGGAAAACGGAGCGCTGAGCAGGCAGAGATGTGACATGGAGACTTTTTTTTTCATGTATTTGGAAATAATTGATTGAAAGCTAAGCTGTGTAGCCAGTGAGAAAATGAGATTATTCTGTCTGTTATGCAAAGAAATTGTATATTGTGCAAAACAGCTGTCAGGGCAGCCGAGAGGCATGTGGTCCTCCTGTGGAAGGTACGGGGTAATGTCTTTCTTTCCAAATTCAGATCAAGTCCTCAGTTTCTGAGTCCCTCATCCAACCGCCATTATTCCATCAACGGTCTGTGACATCCAAGGTATGCCAAGGGCCATGTGGGCTCAGGCTGACCCTCCAGGCACAGCGCCCCTGGGGAGGCCCCAGGAACACAGTGCAGCATGACAGGGCAGGCAAGGTGCCCTGCTGTGCTCCTGGCCTGCACCATCCTGCACCAGGACCTGGGCAGAGCCCCACAGTCCTGGCTATGGCTTCCTGGCCCACAGAGCAGCCTGCCGCCTGGTCCCAGAACTCCCAGTGACCGCTCATGGCTCCAGGAGGACGGCAGCCCCTTCATGCGGCCACAGGGCCGGTGTGGCCTCCTCTGCATCACCCCCACCATGGGGGCTCCCCAGCAGGATGGCCCCATCATCGCGGGGGGGCCTGGTCCCAGAGAAAGGGACCACCCTCAGAGCACAGGGGGTCCCAAGAGCTGCTCAGCCCTGCCCCTGCATGTGCCTGGCCCCGGCCTGGGGCTTAGCCTTCCTGAGCCTCGGTCCACTTGTCTGTCCAGCGGAAGTCATGTGGGCTCCCACCCCCGAGGCTGTGAGGGTTAAACCATAGCGCCTGGACCCTCCCTGTGCTCACTAGAGGTAGAGGCTCTCCCTCCAACCTCCTTACCCCACACTGAAAATTCGCATTACCTTATTTAAGACTTCTATGCCCATTTTGTGTATCACTGAGGCTCGTGAAGTTAAATGCATTGTTTGCAATGACCCACTAGCCGTGGCGGGAATCTGGTGGACCTGGCTGTGCTTGAGCCCCGTGCCACTGTCCCCTAGAAAGCTCCTTCCAGCTGACCTCGCTGCTCACAGAGAGCTGGACTCCAGGGAAAGGAGACAAGATGCCCCCAGGTAGTCCAGCTGCAGGGCCACCAACTGCCAAGGCTTGCTTGGGACACAGGACTTGGCACTGCCAAAGCCCGGAAAGCCCCGGGCAGAGCAGGAAGGGCTTACCCGCCTGCCTCTAGCTTCTTTAAAGCCCTGCACATCACTCAAAAATATTTTGGTAACAGAGAATATAACATTAGGTCTGTCCCTTTTAAGTTAACTGACATTTCCTAAGACCAAGTCCGGGGAAGCAGACAGTACGTTTCCACCCGCCTTTTCACTCACAGCCCAACTCCCAGCGGTCAGCCCACCCTCTGCAGGCAATGGCCACCTGCAGCTCCATCCCAGCCCCGCCGCCCCACCCCTCTCCGCCTGGGGACGGAGCACCTGAGGTTGAACAAACCATGGCCCCTCTCCCCACAAGGAGCCCAGGACAGAGGACAGAGGACAAGTAGCAGCAGTATAGTGAGGGCAGGGCAGAGAGAAGCCTGGGGGCTGCGGAACATGGGGGTGGGAGGTCGGGAGACCTTATGGGACACCTCTGGGATGTGAGCCGTAAGCAGGCATCAGCAAGGTGGCAAGCTGGGCACGTACTCCAGGCAAGGCCCAGAGGCGTGGCAGGGCCTGGAATATTCTAGGAACCATAAGCATGATGGAAGAACACAGCAAAAGGGGAAAAGGAGGAAAAAGACAGAAATAGACACACACTGGAGGCCAGTGCGTACAATGGAATGCCTCCAGGTGAACAGGTAGGCGTCTAATCCATTATATTCAGTAGGTGCTGCTATCCTATGATGAGAGTGTATTCTGATTACTCAACCATTCCATCTGCTTCCTGTTTATCATCTGCTTCCTGTTAATTTTTTGTTGCCACTATAAACAATTCCTCAGTAAATATATTTATGTAGGTCAGAGTCCAGATATGAGATTTCAAGTAGATACTGTCATATAGATTTTCCAAAAATGCAATAAGAATTCACACTCCCACTAACAATATACAGGAATGCCCTTCCCAACATATCTTTCCAAGGACAGCTGTTCTGTTTTGTTTAATTACTGCCCATCTGATGAGTGAAGTCATTGTCACTTTCATTTTTCCTTCCCTAACTACTAGTGAAGTTGAACCTCTTTGCATTTGCTTATTTTTTTTAAGATTTTCTCTCCTGTGATTGCCCATTTGAAATATTATTTGCATATTTGGATACATTTAGATTATTTCTGTTTTATTTGCAGGAGCTCTTTATCTGTTATAAATATCGATCTTTTAATTGTTATAAGTGTTATCTGTCCCCAGAACTGTACAAAATATTATTGGCCCTGACAAATCTGTATGCTTTGACTGGATTCTAGACCCCCCAAGAGTCTCAACTGTGGTTGCACATTAGAATCACCTGGGGAGCTTTGAAACCTGATGCCTGGATCAACTTTGCTAATTTATATTTTCTGTACATTTTCAAAAGTGTTGCCATACAGCTGCATATAATAATTTATTCTTGTTTTGATGTCTTCCACACCTGTTATTATATCTTTTCATCTTTCTAATCTCATATTCCTTTGTTCTTTCTTTTTTTCCAGATGTACTGAGAAATAATTGACAAATGAAATTGTATATACCTAAAGTATACAATGCAAGGATTTGATTTCACATATACATTGTGAAATATTTACCACCATCAAGTTAATTAACACATTCATCACCTCACATCGTTACCTTTTGCATGTGTGGTAAGAATATTTAAGATCTACTGTTTCAGCACATTTCAAGTATATAATAAAATATTATTTAGTGCATTAGATCCTCAGAATCTATTCATCTTACAACTGAAAGTTTGTACCCTTGTTTAACATCTCCCCATTTCCCCCACCTGCTCCATCCATGTTGTCACGAACAACAGGATTTCTTTCCTTTTAAGGCTGAATTATATATATATATATATATATCATATCACATATATAATTATATATTCATATATATAAATATTTCCATCTATTTCAGTCTTTGCCCCATTTTTTAATCAGATACATTTTTTATCCATTCATATATCAAAGGACCCTCAGGATGACTCTCTGTCTTGGCTACTGTGAATAACACTGTAATGAACATGGGGGTGCAGAGGTCTCTTCAAGATCTTCTATTTTTAAATTTTTGATGAACCGCCCTACTATTTTCCATAATGGCTATACCAATTTACAATCCCATCGGTGTGTATAAGTGTTCCCTTTTCTCACCAACATTCGTTATCTCTTGTCTTTTTTATATTAGCCACTCTAAAAAGGTGTAGGGTGATATCTCCCTGGGATTGTGATTTGCATTTCCCTGATCATTAGTGTCATTGGGCACCTTTCTGCATACCTGTTGGCCACTGTATGTCTTCTTTGAAAAAAATGTCTATTTCAGACCTTTGCCCCATTTTTTATCAGATTATTTGGATTTTTTGCTATTGAGTTGTATGGGTTCCTTACATATTTCACATATTAACCCTTTATCAGATATATGGTTTGCAAATGTTTCTCCCCTTCCATAGGTTTCCTTTGAATTTTGTTGATCGTTTCCTTTGCTGTGCAGAAACTTTTTACTTTGATGTGGTCCCACTTGTGTATTTTAGCTTTTGTTACATATGTTTTTGTTGTCATGCCAAAGAAATCATTGCCAAAACCACTGTCAATGAGATTTTTCCCTGTTTTCTTCTAGGGGTTATACAGTTTCAAGTCTTACATTTAAGTCTTCAATCCACGTCAAGTTTTTGTGAGTGGTATAAGATAGGGGTCCAGGCCCACTCTTGTATGGGGATATCCAGTTTCCCAACACCATTTACTGAAGAAAGTATCCTCTCTATTGTGTACTCTTGACACCCTTGTCAAAGATTCATTGAACATAAACGCACAAGTCTATTTCTGGGCTCCCAGGAGGCCCTTTTGAGTCTGGACTTGATTAAATACCCACAGGAATCTACTGAAGAATTTTAAAAGAGTCAAGTTTAAGGCTCCCAGAACATTAGGTTTGAAGACTACATGTCCAACTGCCTTTGATGACCAATGTCAAGGCCAAATCCAGAGACAGCAGAAAAATCACCCAAAGTCACACAACTGAAGGACTCAGGGGAAAAGGCAGACGTCATACCCAGGCCTCCTGGCCCCCAGCCCAGCCCTGCTTTGTGAAAAGAGCCATCCCACGACCTCTCCTCCCCTCACCTGTGCCAGCTCCAGGCCCTGGCTGATGGACATAATTGCTTAACAAACTTAAAGTCTTCTACAAATATGGATAATCTTCATTACTTTCTCCTGAAAATCCTCTGGCATTCCACTGAGAAAAGCTGAATATTCAAATCACCCAGGTAGTTAAAACAGAAGCTAATCTTTTATTTATTTACTTTAATCCTGAATTCTGTTCTTTTTCATTTAGAGTTCCCTGGATTTGAGGGTTGGGTGAAAGGTAGAAGCTCTAACTGTGTTGGCCGTGATGTTCATCTCTCTCAGATCTTTACCAATTGAGGGCCTTGGGGTGCCCGCAGGTCATGCTTAGGAAACCAAGTGACCTCACACACGTTTCCCAGCTGTGAGCCTCCAAAACATAGTTCCCACAATACTGCCCCCCACCCCCCGACAAACCTAGTCAGCTCCCTGGGGCTTCCACCAGGCCAGACTGGTTCTACCCAGCTCAGCTCAGGGATCATGAGCAATAGACCTGGACTGGGCTTGGAGTCATGAAAAAAATAAAATAGCCACTGTGATAAGGATATCAGAGGGTCTCCGCATGTCAGGGGCCAAACAGTAAGGGAGGGAGACCTGCAGAGTAAGCACAGGAGCGGACGGCATGGGGGAGAGTGATTATCTAGACCCTGGGCCATCAAAAAAGGAAAAACCCTGTAGGAGTGGAGGGGGCTGGACAGGGTATGACAGCAGTCCACAGCAGGGACACCCTCTCCTCCAGGGGCTCACGGTGTCCTCAGGAATCTGGGAGAGTGTGTGCACCACGCTTGCCTCCAGGATGCCCTCTGCCTGGGGCGGGGAGGAGATGGGGACGCCCCACCTGATTTGGGCCAGCAGAGAAGCTTCCTGACTGGGTTTCCCCACCCAGCCCCACAGGGTAATCGGAAACAACGGGACAGTTCCCTCTTGCAGTAGTTTTAAAACCCATCTGCCTTTCAATTCCACGCAAGATGGAGTAAAAGCATTTCTCCCCATTTCTTCTACAAAACACACTAAAAATCCTGGATATTACATATAAACTAAAGATAAGAATACTCTAAAAGGTGGAGAGAAGGCTGCCCAGCCGAGGACCTTGAGGGACAGCAACTCAGTGAGTTCCCAGGGTTGGCTGGTTTGCTGTTTTTTGCCGCGTGTATCCCAGACTGGGTACTGGAGGGGCTGGCCACCCAGAAGTATCCATGGCACAGACAAACAGGGCCCTAAGGAGAGTCTGCCCCTGGTAGTAGCCACAGGACCAGGACAGGGGCAGCCTAGCAGAGAAAACTTTGAGACAATAATTGCCCTACTCTAGCCAAAGGAAAAAAATTGACCCCACTCCTACCCCACTCCAAAGTCTGAGTGGGGCTCAGGACTTTCCTGCCCACCTGCAGTAATGAGCCCACCCTCCCCCTTCCTGACAGTGTCACTAGAGTCCATGTGGGGATCCTGGATTCCCACCCCTAACTGGTAGTAATGAGGTACCCCTGTCTCTGTGCTGGAGTGGGTCAGCAGATGCCCAATAGGAAGCTGGAGCTGTTACTACCACCAGCAGTAAGAGCTCACCCCCCGTTACTGCTCTGTAGTGTCAGGGAAGACCACAGGGAAGGCTCCCCTCCCACTCCTACCAGGATGATGAGACATCCCCCCACACCCAGAGTGTCCCCTGTGGGCACATAGAGAATGGGGATCCCACCCCTGCCCAACAACAAGCAGAATCCTCCCTCCCCACTAGGATGGAGGCCAGCTAAGACAGGAGGTTTAAATAAGGTCCAGAGCCTTATAATACCCAAAATATCCAGGGTATTATAAAGTCACTCATCATGCCAAGAACCAAGAAAATTTTAACTTGAATGAAAAAAGACAACCAACAGATGCCAACACTGATATGACACAGATGCTGGAATTCTCTGACAAGGATTTTAAAGTGGCCATGATAAAAATGCTACAGAGATGCTACATAAATATAATTATAAACACATTGGAAATACATGAAAAATGAGAAAATCTTAGCAAAGAAATAGAATATCCAAAAAAGAACAAATGGAAATTTTAAAACTAAAAATACAGTCACTGAGAAAACCTCAGTGGATGGGCTAAAAAACTGAATGAGACTTCAGGGAATATGATGACATAGAGCCTGAATGCTCCCCCACCGGCTTACACACTGAATCTACCCCCACACACAGAGCACTTCACCCTGAGGAAGAACTGAGGCCTGAGGGAGCACCTTCTGCACAGTGAGGGATAAAACGATTGCATAAAAAATGGCAGGAGAGCTGGAGACTCAGTAATGGAGGGAACGCCACCCCCAGCACAACGACCTACAGAGGGGAGGGTGCTCACAGATTCCCCGCCCTGGGGCACAGAAAAAGAGCCACACTTTAAAGTGCATTTAGACAATAAGTGAAAACATAATAATGAATTAAAGCACCTGCTATTTAGTGCGGGAAGGCTGGAACTCTCTCTGGACAGAGGTCTGGTGAGCATCATTGCTTGGACTCCTTCCTCACATTGATAATGATTTGGGCAGCAGGGCTGAAGCACACACACCCATTTCAGACTTAATCTAGCAGTCCTCCCTGGCCCCAAGACACCCAGAAACATCAGCCAGAGTGCATTCAGGCCACAGCTGCCCTGAGGGCACAGAGCCAGTTGCCACCGACTCCTAGAGGGAGCACCCTGGCGACTGCTGCACCATGGGCACTGACCCAGTAGCTGGGTCACTGCATGCCCAAGCCTCTGCTACACAGCAGACACAGAGCTGCAGGAGTGAGGCTATCCTGAACCTGTACCTGGTCCCACTGCCTTCCTGCCAGTGTGGTCCCCATTGGTATCCACTTAGGAACCTCTCTGATTGGGTCTGTCTTACCATGCCCCCTTTCAACACATCCTGAGAGTCCTGATACTAGGACACCCCCATCTCACACACATTCAGCCTCCAGCCAGCCAACCTAGAGCACCAGGCACACACAATCTGCCCAGGGAATCTTCCCTACATGAGGCCAATCCTTCAAGACTGGGAGAGGCAGCCCTTTATACTAATTCATAGAACAAGTAAAGAAAGTCAGACAAAATGAGGAGACAGAAGAATATGCTTAAAACAAAAAAAGAAATGACAAAACTTTAAAAAAATAACTAAATGAAAGTGTTATAAGCTACCAGATAAAGAATTCAAATTACTTATTACAAAGATGCTTACTAGAATTGAGAGAAGAGTGGAAGAACTTAGTGAGACCCTCTACAAAGAGATAAAAAATATAAAAGAGAAGTGATCATCAATAAAGAATACCATAAACGAAATATAAAATACACTACTGGGAATCAACAGCAGGTTACAGGATGCAAAAGAATGAATCAGAGTGAAGACAGAGTAATGGAAAGCACACAAGCTGAACAGCAGAAAGAAAAAAGAGTAAAATTAAATGAGAATAGATTAAAGGAGCTCTGGGACATCAAACATCCAAACGTCAACATTATAGGAGTCCAAGAAGGAGAAGAAAAAGAGAAAGGAGTAGAAAACATATTTGAAGAAATAATAACTGAGAATTTCCTTAACCTAGGGAAGGAAACAGACATCCAGGTCCAGGAAACAGGGGGAAACCAAAATAAGATAAACCCAAGGAGGTCCACACCAAGACACATAATTAAAGTATCAAAGATCAAAGACAAAGAAAGAATCTTAAAAGCAGAGNAAAAAAAAAAAAAAAAAAAAAAAAACCTCCAACCAAGAAAACTCTACCCAGCAAGGTTATCATTCAGAATGGAATGGGAGATGAATAGCTTCATAGACAAATAAAAGTTATGAGTTTGCCACCAGTAACCCAGCTTTACAAGAAATGGTAAAGGGTATAAGAGGAAAAGAAAAGACCCAAATTAGAAGCAAAAAAAAATATGAAAGCAAAAATTTTACTGGTAAAAGCAAACATATGCCAGTATACCTAGTATGAAGGTAAAAAGACAAAAGTAGTACAATCAATATATATAAAAATTAGTTAATGGAATCACTAAATTAAAAAGTGCAAAAGAAGAGATCATATACAAAAAATGTGTTGTTAGAATACATTCAAACTTAAATGACTGTCAACTTGTCATAGATTGTTATATATGTAGGATGTGATATAAGAACTCCAAGGTAGCCACAAACCAAAAACCTACAATGGATACACAAAAAACAAAAAGAAGGAAATCAACACATAATACTGAAGAAAGTCACAATGCACAAGGGAAGTGGATGAGAAAAATAAAGCATCAGAGAACAACAAAAACAGAAAATAGTAACAAAATGGCAGTAAGAACATGCCTATCAATAATTACTCTAAATGTAAATGGACTAAATACTCCAATCAAAAGACTTAGGGTGGCTGAATGGATAAAAAAAACAAGACCCATCTATTCGCTGCCTGCAAAAGACTCACTTTAGGCCTAAAGACACCCACAGACTGAAACCAAAGGAATGGAAAAAGATATTCCATGAGAACAGGGATTTTAAAAAGCTGGAGTAGCAATACTTATACCAGACAAAAAAGATTTTAAAACAAAGACTGTAACAAGAGACAAAGAAGGACATTATATAATGACTAAGGGTGCAATCCAGCAAAGAAGATATAACAATTGTAAATATCCATACACCCAACAGAGGAACACCCAAATACATAAAGCAAATATTAACAGAGAAATTGACAGTAATACAATAGTAGTAGTAGGGGACTTCAACCCCCCACTTACATCGATGGATAGATCATCCAAACAGAAAAATCAATGAGGAAACAGGGGATTTGAATGACACATTAGACCAAATGGAATTAACGGATATATACCAAAAAAATTACATTCAAAAACAGCACAATACACATTCTTTTCAAGGACACATGGAACATTCTCCAGAATAGATCATATTTTAGGCCAGAAAGCAAGTCTCAGTAAATTTAAAAGCATTGAAATCATCCCTTCTGATTGAAATCAAGCATTTTCTCTATCCACAATAATATGAAACTGGAAACCAATTACAAGGGAAAAAAATGGAAAAAACACAAACACATGGATGCATCATGCTTCTAAACAATCAGAG